GTCAAATAAACTTTCCTAAGGTCACATACAATTCTAATAATGAAAAATAATTGACAACAAATTCACGAAGAATTTAGGACAAATAATTAACAAGTAATTCCTAAATCTAGCAACAGGCAATGATTACCCCTTCACGGTAATCCCAATTCTCATGTCACCCCACACGATGACTTCTAATGCGAAAATTAAATTATCATACACAATGATTTTAACTGCAATAATAAAAGGCAAAGAACGCGATACCGAGCGGACCATGTCTGAAGGTCCGCAAATATCGAGAGCTGTGAATTCACCATTTTAGGACAGTCACCATTCGTCCTAAAGTTTCCAGCAACCGTGGCAACACAAAACGACACCCGGCACCCAAGCGTCCAAAGGGCAAAACCGTCCAACTTTCACCGTATTACTCGAAACTGAAATCCGACAACACCGCAGGGTCCGTCTCGATGTCCTGGAAAAACTGCCTGAAGAAGTCTCCCCAAAATCCAACCACACGCGCCTCCATTGGAGCGGCGCTTTGATCTCACACGCCGGCGAGTGATCTACACGCGGCGACCACCCTGCTTCTCCTCCGCCTACACGTCACGCCAATGGTGTCTGTTTCTCCTAAAGGTGAGCGATTTGTCCGGAAAACACATTTACAGGTGCGGTATTTAGGCATAAAAACTGGACAGAATTTTTCCTGGTTTTCTGCTCGATTTCCAGCAACCTTTTCATCCCAAACTCATTTAGTTTTCCTCCACCCAAGCTGTGATACCATTTGTGATATTTGGGGACTCTAATAGACCACATTTCCAGGCTCAGAAATTACCAAAATTGACACCACACACACAAGCTCGACCCAAAACTTCCTGCACTTGGTTACTCCAAGTTACACTCCACAAAGGAGACTACAATGGTGGTGGTATGCAATATCACAAACGGAGAGAAGAAAGAAGATATCAATAATCAAGCAAGGCTCTCATTTTTCTCTCTAAAATGGCCGGCTGCTGGTCTCTCTTTTTCTTCTCTCTATTTCACCACACACACACCACTACACATGGCTGGAATATGAAATATATAGGGCACAAAATTAGGTTACTCACTTGGCCCAAACATTTCTCTCCAAAATGGGCCAAAGACATTAATTAGATCTCCAACTAAATGGGCTAATTAATACCTATTACCATCCAACCCA